CTTAATGTGATTAAGTTACTGAATTGTACTTATGCGTGAGATTTGATATCAGTTTTTATGACAAAGTAACGTTAGATTTTTTATTATTTTTTGACGCATTGCCTGCCTAGAATTGTTTCTGTTGCCAATATGATTGAAAAATAACAAAACTAGAACAGCTATAAGTTAATTTTTATTATATCTTTTCAAAGTCAAATTGAATGGTTTTATTCAACATTCCACATAATAGAACTTTGTGAGATCGTGTTGTGGTCTGTGGTGATGAACCTACCGTCCTGGTCTGCTTATTCTCGCTATTTTGTCTGTCAGACGTGTTTCCAAATCATCGTCATCTTCAATGATTGATCTGTTTGTTATTGTTGAGATTTTATAAATTATAAAGGGGAAAATAGAAATGCTATGAGAGACAAAACCAGCGATAATAAATCACAGAGATCGGAACTACGTTAATTGAACTATTCGAATGAAAACAGTAGCTATGAAAATGAATGAAATTTAATCTCTAGAGTCTAGATTATTTGAAAAAAAAAAGTTCATAAACCAAATAGCAAAGATTTTTTCAGTATGATAGTGAACCAAATTACATCTTGATTAATCTCTTTCAAAACACCCAAATTTTTTCAAAACCACGTGGCTGGACGAGCTTTTGGAGGTTATTGGATAGAGACTTCGTCCTTGATGAAGGTCCTTCCTTCAACGATAAGGTTAACCCACATGGCGATTATCCGGATGAGTGAAAGAAATGTCATACCCGCCGTACCGTGACTCCATCCGCAATAGCAATTCTTTTGAACCCCCGTTGTTCGGAACACGCAACCAAGAATAATACCGTTTTTCCAACCAATAAAATATATTCAAGGTTTTCGTAAATCTTTGCTATAAAGAACCTCACATGTGATACAACCGTAAAAATACTGCTACGTCATTCCATCAATTGGGGCTGTTTCCGTTCTTTTATAAATGTTTATACAAAGTGTAAAAATTGTATACAATCCACAATCCACCACATTCACCCATTTTTCAATGAATGCTGAGTTACAATACAAAACGTGATGTTGTGTTCTTGCAATTTTGTATTTCCAGACTTTGGATGGATTTTTCGAAGACCATATCTTTCAGTTATACTTTTTAGTTAGCAAACCTACCAGCAGTGGTAAGTCCTAGGATGTCCTTTGGCTCAAAGAAGAAGAAGAAGAAGTCAAGAGAAAATCAAATTCAATTAGATGGTCAACCAGTGAAGTCTCCGGGTTAATTATATTCTGAAGCACTAAATATGAGCAATCATATTAGGGAAAACGTGAATGTGACGGGAAATCACACTTTGGCTTTCAATCTGAAATGCTATCAATGCTTGTGCATTATTTGTAGAAAATCTTAAATTGATTACACTGACAAATAAATTGTATGATCAGTCCGCCTATCGCCCTAAAAGCATTAGCAAAAGCCTGGAAAACCATAGCAATCAGGCATTAGTTTGGCTGCCAGGAAACAAAGGAGTTCTGTATAATAAACACAAACTTGCCAGAGGAGGCCCAGAACGTATATTTGTGATAACAAGATCATAGACTCTTCCATTTCAGAATAGATTACAAAGAACAAAAGGAGAAATGCACGAGATGGAGAGGTGCCAGATAACTCGTGATTAAAACCCTTACCAAAACTGGCTAACACACTGATACTTTTAAAGAGGATAAAACTCGGGGTGTGCTAGGACTATTAGCGGTCTCTGGCAAATGAGAAAACCCGTACACAACATGGGTATATCAATGAGGAGGAAGAAACTGCGAACCAACCGCTTAACGGAGACATAACCTAGAGTACCAAGAAGATTCGGGAAAAAGAATTGAAGCAATGACAGTCAATGACCTACTACTTCATAAGAGAAGGATAGAGTCAATTGACCTTATCTAATTGAGAAAAGTACAATAAGCCAATAGGCTCATTAACTAGGAAATACCAAACCCCCGCTTCCTGGTATCCTTTTCATCATTATCATATTCATCAAGCAATCTTCAAGTAATTTTTTCACTGTTGTTTGAAGCATTAAAAAATTCAAAGACTGTACTTTTGATTGGCCTAATTATTATTGTGAAAAGTAGTAATGGAGTGTTTTTGGGGTACAAAGTGGTATGATGATGGTTACATTTTGACTTGATTTGCTTTTCTACCAATCAGAGTAGTTTAAATTGTCCATTTTTCATAAAACTTTTAAATATACTTAATATTGCGATTATTCATTTTGTCGCATTTTGCATATCTTCAAATTTCTTTGCGGTTTCATCGTTCTAACAAATTTTCAAATTTTGGTTGTACCTCGTCATGTTATACGATTACTGGATGTGCATGGTCCCCATTGATTTGTGGATGGTTATTATTGGATCAATTACGCCTACATTTCGCTTTATTTTACTTTTCTCAAGGCACATTTCTTGAGCTTTGTTGTTAAAATTTTACGATTATGGAGGTGAATAAGTTGGGATACAAGGTATGAAAAATATTAACCTACATGTAATTAAAGACCTACCAAAAAAATGAACAATTTTATTTAATTTACTTGTTGGTTACTTTAATTTACTTGTTGTAGAACAAACTGGACATCTTGGATTGAATGTACATATAAATTCCAAGATTGCGTAACTATTTTAATAGGAACGGGATATTTTGATTACACCCATTCAGTATTTCTTGCTTAAGTCAGTAATTTAATGTAAGGAAGACGTTTCCTCGTACTATTTGGTGTATAAACAATTAATTAAAATGCATCGAGCATATATTGATCGGAATTTTGAAGTACACGCTTGAGTTGCTATTATGGTTAATTATTTATATAGCGTAATAACTGTGTTAAATATTTTAGATATGTTCTATTAAAAATAATAATAATAACGGTTCGTTCCATAAGAGGCTGTACGTGCACCCAAGAATACACATATTTCTCCTCATGACTTGCCATTTATTTACCAAATTTATTAGCAAATTTTGAACAATTAAAGAGGATAGAAAAACCCGAGGTGTTTCTTCCCGTATGCGTATGACACATATTATGAAATATGTAGTCCTGTTACTTCGGACACGGGTCAGCGCTTAATTCGCGCATCGACATTCTGCATGGACGTCGGACGATTGAGACCGAGGAAATTGTTCCACAGAGACTACCTACACGCCGCTAAAGCCTATAATCAACTTTTTCGAGCAATTCTTTTATACTTGGTGAATACAAGTTTTTTTGTACGGTTGTCCCGAACATCACGACCGGAGAACAATAGATTTCGATCGTGCTACAAGACCAAACAAAAACAGGCGTTTTACAATTGTTCTTAATAGTGCTAAACGGTTATTAAAAAAATAAAAACAAAATAAGATTTCGTAAAAGACAGATAAGCATATGCTGTGTAGTGTTTTCTCAGAGGACAGCAAATATCTATCACTTTTAAAGACGAAGGTGCTTTGCAAGCAGTTTAAAGATAAATGATGAGCTATATACTGAGTTTATGTGAATCTTTCTTAGAAATCCGTTTATTCTCTTAACTACCACTCGAACCACCGGTGCGTTTGTCTCAACTTCTGTATTTATTTTATGTGGGACAAGTGACTTCTTCAATAATACCACTTGTTTGCCGTTTAGTCACCGGGGTTACAGTGAATAGGCGAAGCGCGGTCGATACAAAAACCGCATCGATAAATGAAACTCGTAAATATGTATAAACGTTCTGGTTGCCGTAGGATTTAAAAAAAATCCTTAGACCAAATAAATATTTTAGCCTAAATTATATTATTTTCAGCTATAAATATGTAAGTTAATAAAATTCAAGGACGACCGCAATGCGAATTTATTAATCATCCTCAACTGTATTTGTTTAAGATTGATTTACACAATTAAACATTAAAATCAATCCTTATTCAGGGTTTGAAAATGTATTGGATGTGTGTAGTTTTTAAACAACGTATTTTACTTAATATTGTTACTACGTGAACTTAAGGTAAATTGATTCTTGTGGCCAATGACCTCATAAATGACTTGAAATTTTCAACCTACCTCACGTACATTTAAATTTAGTAATATTTATATATTAATTTCGCAGTGGCTATATCGTAATCAATGAAGTTCTACTGAGATGCGATTATTAATTTCGGGATAAAAGTCAATTAACTTAAACCATTGGCTTTGAGGTTTTCGACGAGATCAATGCATCAAAACAAACGGTTGACGATTTTGAGATTTCTTCTTGAGGTCTGCGGGGTGATGAACCAGTAGCTCGGTCATTTCGGATTATTTTCATCACTACCAAAGTGGTCGGTTTGGGTTCTATTTGTTACTCGACTCCCAGTTTTTGTACGTCTGTATACGGCTGACAAACTGCAGAAAAGAGTCTGGCAGGCCAAACCCGCAAGTTTAGGCAAGAAGTCGAAGGTGGAAAAAGTACTTGTAAAAGTTCTATGATTTTTTTCTCTTTATATAAACGATTTGGAGCAACACTTGGAAATAAGAATGATTTAATTGATTGCTGTTTATGTTATTTAATGTTTTCATATTACCATTGTGTGAGTCTAATTGAATCATGCGTTCTTCCTTTTTTTAATTTATTCGCTTATTCAATAGTTAATTCCGTTTTATCCTGGTGCGCATTCAACGAAAATGCTTTATTTAAAAATTAAGGCGTAATGACAACGATCAGTCTTGATTTGTACAACTTTGTCGGTTGAAAACTCGTCTTTACTAATTCCAACAAAGCAATTTATTTTATTACTTCATTTTTTAAACAAAAAATTGTTACCTTATTTGGCAACACGAATTTAGATGTAGAACTTCTTATAAAAGAAAAACCATTTTTTAAAACACATAAAGATGAAAATTATAAAAGAAAAACCACAAGGTAGCGGATCTCAGCGAAGGGAAAAAAAAATCTCTCTCCGCATACAGTATATCATAGCTGAATAACATTCCCCGGCATTCCTACAGCTAAACTACAACTCCAATATAATTTACGAATGTGTTTCAGGTCATAGAACAAGACAGACACCTGTTGAGGAGGAAACTAGCCACGACACAAGCAGAATGCGAAACGAGGCTCTTGGAATTGCAAGCGGACATACGGGAGTTGCAGAGGGTAATTGGCGAAAAGGAAAACTCCATGAAACAGGTGGAAAAAGAGAAAAACGCCCTGATCGTTGAACTCACCGAACAGAACCAAAGGCTAACTGCCCAGATAAAAGAGGTACGTTCGCCTTTCGACTTATTGAACAAACGCAGCTGAGGAATTTTATTTTATAAGTTATTTCAATACAAAAATGGTATGAAAATAAATACGTAATAAAAGTTTGATTAGTTACAAAGCTGTTTTCCATTTTATGGGCCCAATGACCACCAATGTCTTACGTTTTTATTCAAATTTTTGTCCAATTAAAATAATAATAAATTGTGACTCTTGAGATGAAGATATAAGTTTGGCCCTTTCCTATCATCTTTGTCTCAGTTAGGTCTAGGGTATTTTGAAACAACCGAACAAATAGAATCAAATTTACTGCAATTATGCAGGTGGATAAATAAAACCATTATTTGTTTTCTCATTCAATACGAGTTATTTAATTAATTTTGTCTTCGATGTTCATCTCCCCCAGAAAAACTTAAGATAGATTGGCACTTGAAAAAACAAAACAAAATTATGTAGAAATTAGAATTAAAGTAAAGCTAATGAATAAAATATTTTAAGCTCATTAACCAATATGAACTCCATTGTTTTTGAGTTTAGTGAAATTAGGTTGAGAACGTCCTCATCTCTCTATAATTTTGAGAACTTAAGTAAAATGTCTTCTCTCATTCGCGGGAATTTCCCCTACAATTCTCACGTCCTACGCGACTGCTCACCCGGACATCGGCAAATCGTAATAACACTATTACGCAAAAATAGTTTAATAACTACCGGATCTATAAATCGTCTTTCAACTCGTCGCCGTACCGCCTTTCTTTTCTCACTTCAGTTTCAACAGTTTTTAGAGTTTTCTTTTCGTCCACTCCGAGAGTTCTCAACAAAAAAGAAAACGAAAGATTAAAGTTTTTCGGAAAATGTCTATTGGCGGGCTCTTTCGACTTTCAAATCATGTAATTTACAGTTTCGACGGCACGGAAACAAATCAGTTGTTCATGCAGGGAGACACTCTTGAGCAAAATGAAGGCCAAGTGGACTCTCACGGGTCAATTATCAATCAATAATTGATTATCCAGCTTTTACCCCAAGACAGTACGAAAGTTCTTTTTAAATAGTTTGTAAAAATTTAATTTTTGACCAATATACAAAGGGATCAAAATATTTTAGCATACTATTGTACAATATTTTAATATACAATCATGAATTTTGAACTGCATATATTTTTGTAATAAATTTGTGATATTTATATTATATATATATNTATATATAAGCCACTAATACATACGTCATACTACAGGTCAGATGGGAGGTTAAATGAAAATTTTGGTGACAAGTTGGAAGGGCTAAGTGGGAATCATACACATAACCGCAAAGTCATAATAGTTGAAAATTGAACTAAACCTTTTCCTTATTTAAATAAATTTAGCAGATAGATTGTAATTTTTTTTTTTTTTTTTTTTTTTTTTTTTTTTTTTTTTTTTTTTTTTTTGATAAGTACATTTTTAACAGAATTTTTCTACTGAGAGGATCGACCATTGCTTTGCTTTTAATTTTCTTTAAGTCAAACATAAATCTGTAGTTTGATCATTTGGTCTACATATCCTCATGATTTTGTCTTGACTGGATTTCAGCTTCTTGCCATCTTAAGTGCTGAGAGGGGAGAGATCAAATTGATCAGAAACAACTAAACTATATTTCTTGGGTTTTTTCAGGTACTAAACAACCATCAAACTCACTTTCATTTTATTGATCAATAAAAAGAAAATGAGTTTGATGGTTGTCTAGTTCCTGAAAAGAAACCTAAGAAATATAAAAAGTCAGCAGCAAAAGAAGAGTAAAAGACTAAACTATAGGTTCATCACCCTGCAGAACCAAGAGAAAATATAAAAGAACAACCCACTGATAACGTTGTGACTCTGTAAACCTTTTATTATGCTATTAAACTGTTCAAAAATTACTACAAGTACTGATTGAATCTAGTACTTGTAGTATTTAGCACAAAACAGTCTTTTAATTATTGGCTAGGCTATTTATTTGCAGTGACAGTATTACAGATTTATCTATTTAATGTTTGTAAAAATAATTCAATAAACTAGAAATGAATAATAAAAGAAAGGATTGATATGAATGATTGGAAGATACTAATAGATGTTGAATGGCAGAAACTAACTAAAATTTCATTTTCATCAATTGTTGTCTAATTGAAAACAGTGGCAGTGTCAAAAAGTGATTTAGTCATGGTAAATTTATGGTTTAAGACAGACACATTGCCTCAGTACCATATGATAAGAGGGAAAACCCAGGAGTGATTTATTGCCAATCAAAGGTCTTGAGTCTATTTTAGTGATACTTACCTTCACTTATAGGAGAACTACCCTGAAGGAGAAAACGATGCTGTGAGATTTAATAACTTTTTTTTTTAGTCCACTAAACTTGAAGAACAATTAACGATTCAACTACAGGGTATGAAAGATCAAGCTAGTAGGAGACGGACTAGCCTTCAGGACCATCAGAGTAGCCTAGAAGTACTGCGAGATGAAGTAAGGATAACTTTTATCAATCATTTTACCTATATAATTATTTTCAAAGACACATTTCAAATTCCATTTTTTTGTCTCAATTACTTGAACATATCTGAGATTAATGTGATCGTCATATTTAATGAAAATAATCGTGTAAAAAATATAACCTGTATGAATTTTTAAAATCGGATAAGATTTTTTTCATTAGATTAGTTTGTTATTGCATGCATTCACTATTGAAAAGGTGTCAGCAACATATTAAACTATTTTTAATTAAGGTAATCCAACACTGTTTGGTCCTTAGATTTGTATGATGTCTGAAAAGAAGACAGAATTAGAGAGAAGGATTGTAACTATGACCCAACAAAGAGACACACTTACTGTTGCTTTGGAAGAAGCTACAGACAGAATAATGTTCCTCGAGAGGCAATTAAGAGAACAACAAATGCAGGTAAGTTTACATTTAATTTAAGAATTTAAGCACTTTAGACCAGATATTTATTGAATTTGTTATCAGATGAGAGTCTCTCATAGTGAACTTGAGGAATTAAGAAGTGCAAATGGTTCTCTTGGGGAAAAACTTTCTCAGTTTGGTTCCCCGTCAGGTGAAGAAAGGTCTCTTCACAGTGAAATGGAATGTGATGACTCCATTTTACCTCAGGGAGATGAGTTCCACCAAGTAATTTTTTTTTCTCTTTAAATTTACACAATAAATGTTAACTATTTAATATTTCAGTTGAAAGTGGAAATTGTAAGTGTATATGATAGAGTTAGAGCTGTGTGTCATAGCTTGAAGCAAAGAGCACAGCAACCTATTGAAAATGGAGTACGACCTGATATTACCGTGCACCAAGTTAAGGTATGTTTAGGTTTTTTTCAATTAGTGAAAACACCTCTGTACTGGATGTTTGCCAAATTGTTTGTTCATTAGGTTGGACTCTTAACTACGATTATTCAGGAACTTTGTGATCTTGTATCAGACCTTAGCGGCGGTGATTATTCCACTGGAAGTGTTTGTGTTACTGATCTCGAAGTTGAACTTCACAGAGCACAAGAAACACTAGATAAAATGTCTAAGGTATTATAAAGTTTAATTATTTTATTAATTATTAATTTAATTTAATTAATCTATTTTTTTTCTTTTAGGAAATGGAAGCTAAGACTGAAGAGCTCAAAAGAAGGGCAGACACAATTATGGAACTGACAAGTAAAGTAAGTGCATTGTTAATTGTGATTTAAATATCCACTTAATTTTCAGAGACAGAAATAATTGTTTCTTATGTTTTTCTTTACATGACTTTATCTTAGCTGAGATTGAGAACTCCAGAATATGACAAGGTTATATTCTGTAAGGTGTTTATTTAGAAATGAGCTTTACACATACACTATAGTGACAAATGTTAGCTCACCAACATTAAAAATGCACAAATTCATAAATAAGTTATGAACCAGGAAGAATATATTTTTTCTTCCTGATGTTTAAAATAAACTGAACAATATTAGCATTAGTAATTAAAAAATGCATGGATGATTTTCCTAAGATTCAATTAAAAATAACAAAAACATGAATCCCTAACAGACAATATTAAAAAAAAATTAATAAATTGTATAAGAAATAACATTAGTAAAAAAATATTTTTTTTATGTAAGGTTTTGGTTGAAATGAAACATGAAGAACTTCATGGAAAAATGAAGTTTTCCTGAAGTACAAGCAGGATTCGGACCCATAAGCCGAAGGTCGTGGGTTCGCCCATGCGTGCCACTAACTTTTTCATTTCAACCAAGTCCTTACATGAAAAGAATAATTAATTGAAAGAAGAAATTTGGTCAATCAGACCACTATATAATGGAATTATTAAAAAAAAAAATAATGAGATACTTATAATGACAAATAAAAATGTTAATTTATGACTTAGAAGATTGCGTTGCAAAAATATTGCAAGGCCAATTTAGTTTTATGACATGCCATGGTTGTGGAAAACTTATCAATTGTACGGATTGTTAGTTATTCTTATTTTATTTGACTAATTATGGCCTTTTGGTAGATAAAACTAGAGTACAGAAGAAAACTTGCTTCTGTTGAACTACTGAACAAATCAATACATTTGTTTCCCTTTTTAGTTGTCCGTTCGGGAAGCTGAACTTGAAGGCACTCGGGAAGAAAGGGATCAAGCAAGAAATGACCTGAAGACTGGCAATTGCTCCAAAGATGAACTCATAAGGAAAGCATGGGAGGTAAGAGATAGCGCCGTTGCAAGGAAAAATGCAACACAAGTCGAGCTTGCTAAATCCAGAATCGATGTGATGCAAGCAAATAGCCAGCTTATGGAAGCAATCCAACAAAAAATTGAACTTTCCCAACAACTAGAACAGTGGCAGGTACTATAAACACTATAATTTATTAAGAAGTGCTTGGTTTACTTATTATACTTATGTTAAGTAACACCTAATTAATTACCTTGCATTTTTTCATTAGATGGATGTACAGGCATTGCTTGATGAGCAAATGAGGAGAAAACTAGCAAATCCAGAACAGCCTGTCAGTGGCCAAAACACACCTTCTTCAGCAGAAAAGAAAAGACCAAGTCGTCGCCTGTTTGGCCTGTTCCAGCGGTGATAAGTCAATCAAAATTAACCTAACCTATAGGAAAAAATACAGCTACCAAAATGTGTGTATAAACATGTTGATTGAATTTATGATAGAAATAATGTAATTATGTCATTTCCCCAATGACCCCCTCCCTTATTTGCAAGTTTTAAATTTTGTAAGCAATCCACTATAGTTTTATGTTAAGTTTAAAAAAAAACATTGATTTATCCTCTTCCGCCAGAGGGGCATATTAAAATATATCAATTGTTAAAATTTAAATATTGACTCTGTCAAATAAAATAAATGTGATTTGTCAAATAATTTCTAGAATTAAAAATACGTTCTATTTATATAGTTTTAAGAAGTCATTTTGTTATTTATGATTGCTGAATATCATTTCTTGTAAATAAAAATTTTTTAGGGTTGTTTTCAAAAGAACTATGAGAAAAAATTGTTATAGTATTTTGCCATTAAATTTATTTATAAAACTCTAGGTGTGCATCTGTACAAAAATGAAAACATTGTATAGAGATATATTTTTTGTACAGTATACAAACAACTGTAGTTATTGTATAGAATTAAATAAATGTGTAAATATATAATCTGTTTTATAAAGATAATTATGCGTACTTAACATTTAAATATGTAGTTGAAAAAAGTTTGGCAAAATGTTAGGTTTGAACCACCAAAAATATGTAAAGTGTACATACATAAATTAAATTCAATTTTCTGAATAATCAATTTTTCTTTAAATTATAACTCCCTCAAATATTTCTCAATTCCTCCTCTCTTCCATCCTTTTTACCTTCCCTCTTTCTGTATATGTGTTTGTGTGTTGGCAAAGGAAGAAAGAAATGTTCCCATTTTAAAAAAGTGGATTTTTTATGTGTTTGTTGTAACTGATTCAGATCATGCCCAAACCTTCATTCCAGCAGTTTTCTCATTTATTTATTTACTTAATAATATGAATAATAATATTACTTGATAAGCCAGTAATAACACAAAAATACATAAGTAAACATGACTTTATTGGCCGATGGAGTACTAAAAATGATGTCGGCTATTGACTCTTCTTCAATGGTAGGCAGCATGTTTTTTATCTTTCTTCTTTACTTAATCTTTAATATTTTGTACCAGATACATAAGTATATATATCTTCCAATTAAATGAAACACTAATAAAGTGAATGCAGGGGCTGCACATACAAAGAATTTCAAAAGTTCTGGTGTTTTGTTGTAAAATGTAAAAACCCATATTTTTGTATAGTAATTCACCACATGAAACCAGAATACATAACTCATTCCCAAGAACAAAATACCAAATATGCTGTACCAAAGTGTAGGGAACCTTCTTTTCACCGGGAATAATTCAATTAGTTGAAATATAAACATGTTTGTATATGTCATGTGCATCAACCACTTAGGAACTTTTTCAGCCCTGTATAAATTAAATGAATCGAGTATGTACAAAATTGGCATAGCCATCGTTACAGGAAAGAGTACGACGCATTCCAAGTAGTCTATTCTTTCTTCATTCCTTGATAGAAAGTCATAGTTTTCTGGATTTAATGTGATATCCGTTGGTACAAACATAGTGTATATATCAAGGTATGTGGAGTATATGCAATAACCTATGTGTGTAAGAAGATTAAGAAACTCAACATACTTAAAGCACAATGCGAATCTGTAGAAAGTTCCCAGCCCTCCTGTAGCCTGACGTGCACTTTTGACTTCATATATGAAATAGTATACAACTGCAACCACATTGTGAATTATTAAAGCTATATGCAGCAAACGACGAAAACAACGAAATATGGTTTTCCCCAAAGATGAAATTGATGGTGCCATTTCTCAAATAAAATAAAACTATATTTTATAGAATAAACTAGTTTGTGTGACAGTTGTATTTCATATGTTAAAATTAGTTTAAAACAATATGTACTAAAATAAATTCAAACGAATATTATTAAGTGACTTATTATTTTTTCTTTTTCAACATTAGGATGGAATGAAATATGTACAAGCAAATATTTTGAGCAGAGAAATAACATTTGCTCTGATTTGTTAATGGAAAATCTATTATACAGTTTTATTTTCAAATTTAAATATATCTGGTAAAAAATGTTAGTAGATTGTAAAAATATTCCCTTTTATTAAGACCTAATATTTGCATAACTTTATTTATTTGTGTGTACATATTTTCAGATTTTGTCAACTTCATTAGAATTAATATTCTAAAAATTGTCGCAATATAAATTATTTCCATGCTTCCTTTGGAACTTAACATTGAATAACTGTATATGGTAGTTAATTTATTATAGATTTTATCATCATTAGATGATGGAATTCTAAAAGTTTTCCTCTTGAACAACTCCCTTTAGTTCATGTTAATTGTAATGTTTGGGAAAATGCTTTTATAACTGATAATGTGCATAGATTCTTTATGTCCATAATCATAAAAACTAGAAATGAAATGTTACATTTAAACTATTCAATTAAACTAAGAATGAAGAAGGACGTAAGTGCTCTCTTTGTAATATGTTGGCTCTTGAAACTGTTTATAACTTTGTTCCCATATTAAAAAAACGCTATTGGAAAAATGGCCACATGCTAATAAATTGGAATGAAGTCTATTTATGTATCATTTAAATGGTATAAATTGGCAAGAACTATATTGTGTTTTTTTATTTGAATTTATTTATTTTTTTAGGGCTCACAACAACAGAGGGCAGACATATCAACCCCTCACGGTGCAAGTGTTTAAAAAAAGAAAAAAAAACAACAACTTGTAAGTATGCGATTCAGCCCTGAATTCGAACCTGGGATCTTTACCTTACAGTGACGACATCATGTCATTGCCTTAATCATTGCAGCCACCAATGTCCCTCTTATGCTATTAGTAAATCAAGAAATATTATATCAGAGATTAATTATTAAATCAATCCAATGTACTTAGTTACATTTTATTTTAAAATTATTTATAATTTGTTATAATGTATAAATGATATAATTTGTTATAACATATAAATTATAATGTAAATTATATTTATTATAATTTTGTTGTCATTGATTCTTATTAATTTAGGAATATGCTTTTTTTTCTATAGTATTCCTGTCCTACTGGAAGGCTGCAACACTATTTGTTGGGTGTTGCACACGAGAATCAACCACTTTACAATATATTTTTGATATTATTATCAAATCAAAAGACATGTGTTAATTTTATTTGTATATACTCAAATCTAACAATAGCAACATAACTTAAAATAATGTATGGTGATTAGTGACCGTTAATCGATAATTATTCAGAAATCGTGAGATGCGGTCTGGTGTGCTGTAGGTTTCAGAAAAACATTTTCTTTATCATGCCAACGTTTCGATCTTTATTGAGATCATCTTCAGGGCCTGGGATTTACGAACATTGTTTAAATTTAACAAATACATGTAGGATGTGGAAAAAAGTGAATTTATGCAATGCAAAAAAAAATTGATATTCAATCAAAGTATTTCTACTCACCCAAAGTGTTTGTCTTCTGTGTAATTGTGCCATTCTTGCGTGTCGTGTTGAGAGAGCCAGTGAGATTTTGCTGTTTTATGTTTATGTACGTTGGATTTTTAAGGGGTGGGGAAGGAAGTTGGTATAGAAAATACATTTTTGTATAAGGCGTCGGCTTCTTTGAGGTGAAAAGAGCCGACGAAGGAAAACAATGTGTTGGTAATGGTTCGGCCAGATTATCCTTTCAGGATTATATAGAAAGGGATAAATAGGAAAAGGAAAGCTAAATTGTTGGACAATTAGTCTATGAAAAATATTTGATGTGTGGAATGTAATGTAATAATATATGTATGTTATCTATATTGGATTTGATTAATGGTATTGGCTGGTGTAGCTGCGACTGAGTTTACATGTATCTGTTCTGTAATTGATGCTGTGTTTATCTCTGTTGATATAAACCATTTCTAAGAAATTACGTTTATGTTTGTTTTGTTCTGTATGTAATATTTTTGGATTTTTGAAGTCGAAATTGTGTTGGTGTTCAAAATGGTGGGTAGCGAGTGCTGTAGGATTTTGCTTGGGTTTTTTGCAATCATAGATATGTTGCTTTACTCTCTTGTCCAGATATTGGGATGTAAGACCGATGTAAGTTGCCGGACAGTTTAAACAGTTGATCTTGTAGATTACGTCAGATTTATTTGTTATTGGTGTGGGATCTTTAATTTTGGAAAAAAGTGTTTGAATTGTTTTATAATTTTTGAAAGCTATTTTGAAGTTATCGGACGAGAGAAATGTGTTTAATTTATGTGATAGGCCTTGGATAAATGGCATGGAAATGTATGCTGGTTTGTTTGTATTTGATAGACTTAATGTAGTATTATTAGTTATATTGGATGGTGTTAGTGTTGAGTTGTAGTTGTTGATTATTCTGTTGATAATGTGTTTATGGTACAGATTGTTGTGGAGGATCTGTTTGTATATCTTTATGTTTGTGTGGTGAAATGATTCATGTATTAGGGTAATCATTCTGTGAAGTAACTCTTTGGCCGTGTTTATTATTGCATGAAGAGGATGGTGAGATGTAAAGTTGAGGTAGCGATCTGTGTTTCTTGGTTTTTGATACCAATCTGTGATTAATGTGCCATCTGGTTGTTTTATTACGAGTGTATCTAAAAATGGTATTTGTTTGTGGTTTTCGATTTTATGTGTAAATTGAAGGCGTGGGTGAAAGCTAATAAATGTATCTAATGTAGTTTGAATTTGATCTGTGGGAACGGCTGTCAATATATCATCTACGTATTTAGTGAGGAAGGGTAATGTGAAAGGAAGTTGTCGTATGTAGAAATACTTTGATTGAATATAATTTTTTTTTTGCATTGTATAAATTCACTTTTTTCCACATCCTACATGTATTTGTTAAATTTAAACAATGTTCGTAAATCCCAGGCCCTGAAGATGATCTCAATAAAGATTGAAACGTTGGCACGATAAAGAAAATGTTTTTCTGAAACCTAAATCCCACCAGACCGCATCTCACGATTTCTGAATAATTAAAATAATGTGTAAAACAAAACTTTATTTGTCTGCTGGGCAATGCCCGGTTACACAATTAGTTCCAGATAAAAACAATATCTCTCGTAATTGACTAAATTAATACGAATAGTATTAATGCTATAATTGATATTATTAAAATAATTAAATGGTTTCTTTTAAGCTTATGAGCTTTTTCTACATAAATCATAACATCAGAAAAGGGGACGTCGGTGGCCGCCATGATAGGCGTTGACTCTTCAGTCTTCACTATTAAGCGGCCCATAGACGATCAATATTATTGCACAATATTTTGGGTTGTGCAATTTAATTGATCGTGTGTAGACGATATTGAAAGTATGTGCACTGCATGATTGACGAAAAGTTGAAAATATATTGTACAACCTGGAAAATATTGCACCGTCTGTTGGCATTATTGTGCAATATCAGTCAGTTTGTGAAGTAAGTGTGAACAAGTAGTAACAAAATATTGCACAAACTTCAATATCGCCTTCAAACTATTCAAGTTCATTGCACAAACAAAATTTTATACAATATTATTGAACGTTAAGGGGCAACTGTCAAATTATTGTGCAATCTATATGTACAATAATATTGACCGTCTATGGGCCGCTTAAGGTAAAGGTCCTAGGTTCGAATCCAGCGTATGTATAATATACATATATATACCAGATAATATATACCAGACATTTTTTTTTGCTTTGACGACCAGATTTCCGCCACGCCACCACCCTGCATACTTAAATATGGGCTTTTTTCAAATAAACCAGCACCCCGAGCGTTCATATAACCTCCAAGTTGAAATACCCTGGTAAAAAACAAAACAAAAACAGTAAAATTGATAATTTCTCGAAATATAACACTCTCATATTCTGTATGCATTTATAAAATGCATGTCTCACCGTTGTTCCTGCTAAGTCGTCACACGAAGCATCAAGTAAAGTGGTTTTGCTGTAGGGTTAAGCTTCAATCGATGACAAAACTTAACGAATCGATTATTGATTAGATCGATTGACACACAAACGCCATAAGTGATTGGGAAGGTTACTAACTGCATGCACGTGAATACTATCTTTACCACTCTGTTTACTTGTGTCTGTTTAGAATCTTGCCAAAATGGGTAAAAATAAAAAACGTTTCAACTGGAAGGCGAGACAGGTGGCGGAAACTGTCATAGACGATAGCGAACAGAAAAAAGTAAGGAAAAAAATTGTAGTCACTTGTTGGACAAGTTTAACGGATGACTTATCGCAGATCAAAGTTGATTTGGAAGTGGGATCCGCGTACGACGAATGCAACGCTTTGGTCCTGCCTGCAAAGAAGCGAAACACCAAGGTGAAAAAGCCAGATGTCAAAGCTGCCAAACTCCTCTCGAAGACTCAGAGGAAAAAGCTCGAGAAGATTGTGGAAAGGAAGAAGAAAAAACAAAACGTGAGTATCTGGTGTAATTCTTTTAATACAAGGACCTTTTGTCGAACGATGCTTGTAGAACAATGCACTGGAAGTTTTCAAATTTTAGAACAAATAGTCGTTTTAAGTTGCTACTATTAAAGTTATAAAAGATTGGTCTCCCAAAATACCGGTATGAGGTAATAATAAGTTGCTCCTTTAAAGGCTGTAAATTTAAGGTATGTGCAAGTCATGTAAGAAAGAGAAAACATCACTGGCACACCACAAAGATCTGACCTATCATCTTCCTCTATGACTTCCCAAATCCTGGAAATGTAAGCATGGCTGCGTATGCTGATCATGCTGTGATCTATGCTACTAGAAAAGACGTCATAGAAGGTCAAATCTGCGTTCAGGCGGCCTTGGATGAAATCAGCTCGTACTGCTCAGAATAGACTCCTAATTAATCCCATTAAATGTGAATGTAAGACTTTTACACTATGAAGAACCCCAAACTATCCTGAACTATTGAAAGAATATCCCTTGGAAACCCAAAAGCAGCTGTAGTACAGTACCTGAGAGTTTACTTGCACCAAAAACTGACCTGGAATACGCATATAAACAAAGAGGTAAATGAAGGATATGTTTGACAGGGTATTTGCAGCTTGTTGTTTTTCATTTTGATGTCAGACACATTTGGTTTTTGCCATCCTCAGTTTGTCGATTTGCCATCTTTTAACAACTACATCTAAGCAATTGAACATTAAAACATTAAAAAGTTCTCAATCAAATTCCTGTTTAAAAAGTTAATTTTTTTGTTTTGTTGCAGAGGTCATCTCTGCTTGAATCATTGGCGGAAACACAAGTGTCAAATAATGAACTTAGCATGCTCACTTCTATCACAGAAGTACAAACAAAAGGCCTTAAACGACGGTACAATGATAATGTTGAGGACTGGTCGAAGAAAATTAACATAGAAGCTTTGCAAACATCGTCTAAAACAGATGAAAACGAATCATTTAAAGTGAACTCAATTAAAAAAGGTCGAAAGTGGATGAGGATGCTTGCCTCAATGTTTCCTATACAAAAGAAAAAAGATCCAAATGTTATCGGAGTTGAGGTAGGTAGTAATTTAAAAAAAAAAAGAATATGATTATAGTATTATTTTAGCCTTCATCCAGTGAGGAGATAAGCTCTGACGAGGAAGCTGTGCAGGAAATTGAAAAAAAAGAAGAAACAATCCAGTTAAATGATAAAACAAAGGATCTGGCTAATGTAGTAAATGATAACGTATCAAATGAAGACAGAATTTGTGCCAAATCAGAAAGCAATACTGTAACAACATCTAAAGAAAAAAACAGTGTGAAACAGTCATGTGTAAACACTACAACACAAAGAGAACCTGCTGTTTTTGTATCAGTCAAGAGGACTGAAGAAATTCAGGCAGCAAGGCTAAAATTACCAATATTAGCCGAGGAACAGGTCATTATGGAGGCAATAAATGAAAATCCTATTATTCTTCTTGTTGGAGAAACTGGTAGCGGGAAAACAACTCAAGTTCCACAATTTTTGTATGAAGCTGGCTACTCAAGGTGAAAATTTGCAGTTATGATTTAATTAATTTTAAATAACTCTTCATGATTTCTTTATTTTCAGGAATGGTAAACTCATCGGAATCACAGAACCAAGGAGAGTGGCTGCAATTTCAATGGCTAAAAGGGTTGGGGAAGAGTTAAACCTTGGCCCAGAAAAAGTTAGCTATTTAATCAGATTTGAAGGAAATGTTACACCAGAAACTGAAATAAAATTTATGACAGATGGTGTACTTTTGAAAGAAATACAATCTGTAAGTTGTTATTTTTTCAAATAAGCTTTATTTTTAATTATATTTTCATTTATTTACAGGATTTCCTTTTAAATAAATATTCTGTTATAATATTAGATGAAGCCCATGAAAGGAGTGTGTACACTGATATTCTTATGGGCTTATTATCTCGCATTGTCCCACTACGGCACAAAAGAAATCAGCCTCTAAAATTAATTATTATGTCTGCAACATTGAGAGTTGAAGATTTTACAAAAAATTACCATTTATTTAAAACTCCGCCTCCTGTAATAAAAGTTGGTATTATAATGTAAAAAATTGGGAGGGTGGTTGTGTTTATTTTACTTCATTACACAAATTTTAAGGTGGAATCAAGACAATTTCCCGTCTCTATTCATTTTAACAAAAGAACAAATCCTGATTATCTGAAGGAAGCGTTTAGAAAAACTTGCAGAATCCACACCCAGTTGCCTGATGGTGGCATACTTGTATTTCTTACAGGTGATTAACTCTTTTATTGTACAACTGTATTGATCATCATGAACCAATCATCACTGCCCATTCTCACTTGATTTGCTTAACACGTACACTGTGGATGACATCATGGAGTGTCATCAGTGAGTTGTTTCACTGTCACTGGCTGGTGGCTGACACAAAGGTTATTCTCAATTCTTTCACAAAATATTCACTTGATAAACGAATCAAATAAATTAGGCCACACAGTGAACATGTTAAACATTTCTGACAAGGAAAACATTGCTATTGCCACTAAAATGATTTTTTTTTTTTGCTTCATCATTACGATATCCTGCCAATTGAATTACTGAAATGATCAAGCTAGATTTATTGCAATTTTTATTTTTATTTTCATTTTTTTAATTAGGTCAACAAGAGGTAAATGGATTAGTATCAAAATTAAGAAAGGCTTTTCCTTTAAAGAATAAAGCTCTTCTTGTAGAAGATAAAAGCACAGAGAAAGAAGATAATGAAGATGATGATGATCTTGACATGGAAAAGGTTCTTCAGAAAGTGAAAAAGAAACGGAACATGATAATAAAATTGCCCGAAATAAATTTAGACAAGTGCTGAACATCCTTTAAATGTTACAATAAGTATTGCTAAAAGCTAATTGACCTTAATTTTTTTATAGTTATGATGTAGCACCAAATGATGATACAGAACTCGATATGCTTGATGAAAGTGACAACGAACAAGATGATTGGGGAGAAGATGACTTCATTCACAAAAATGCTCAACCAATGTGGGTCCTTCCGCTTTATTCCATTCTTCCAACACATAAACAGGCTAAAGTAATACATGAATATATTAGGTTGTAAAATAAAGTCCATAGCATTTTTTAATTAAGCATTGTAAATCATATGAAAATTTCAGGTACTTATAAACAAATTTAATCAATAATGTATGAACCGTTTTGTTCCACTACCTATCTTCCCTGTAATTTTGAAATTCTCTTCTCCCAAAACTTCTCAGGTTTGGAAGACTCATCGATGTATTTTCTGTGATCCTCAAAGGAAGTAAAGTTTTAGTTTGCAGAGCCTGGAATAAGTAAAAATCTAAAGACAGTGTCAGGCAAATACTGAGGGGTGGGATAAAAGACCAATATGGTTATGACCAATTACTTTATTTTCTTTCTTCATTTTAAATTAGCATAACACCTCGTAAATGTCTTGAATGAAACTGACGTATAGAAACCTTAACCTCAAACTAATCCCATTTCAGAGTATGAAAACAGCAAATAAGAATTGATTTAAAACAAAAGGATAAAAATTGAACTATTGAAAAATGCTAGGGACTTATTTTACAAGCCGATACAGTTTATTTGTAAGTACTTGTTTAAATTTACATTTAAATTTCTAGGTATTTCAACCACCTCCGGAAGGCTATAGATTATGTGTCGTAGCCACAAATGTTGCTGAAACATCACTCACAATTCCAGGGATCAAATACATAGTGGACACTGGAAAAGTCAAGACGAAACTTTACGACAAAGCCACAGGGGTTACTGCATTTTCTGTTGTATGGACTAGCAAATCTGGTGCAAATCAACGAGCAGGGAGAGCTGGAAGAACAGGCCCTGGCCATTGTTACAGGTATTAATTTAAAAAATTCTCCATATTCAAATTGTATTTGATTAATAATTTTTTTAAAGGCTCTATTCTTCAGCCATGTTTAATGATGAGTTTGAAGAATGGGCAGTGCCCGAGATGCAAAAAAGACCAGTAGATGAATTGGTGCTTCAGATGAAATCTTTGGGAATTCAGAGGGTTGTGAATTTCCCATTTCCTTCTCCTCCTGATCACACACAGCTGAAAGTGGCTGAACAAAAACTCTCTCTTTTAGGCGCTTTAAAACAAGACAGTGATAAAGGTATGCTGTCTTTTTTATTTATTTTACTATTTCTTATACTTTTTGTTTTGCAGAGTTTTCTGGACGATTAACTCCATTGGGGGAATCGATGGCCAGGTTTCCCGTGGCCCCAAGATTTGCAAAAATGCTCTGTTTGAGCCACCAACACAATCTTCTTGAATACACTGTCGCTATTGCTGCAGCTATGTCAGTTCAAGAAATACTTTTAAATACAGATGAGAATGGAGGAAAGGTTACAAGAAAAAAATGGAACGGCACTGGTAACTCTCTCTTATTAGGTGACGCTATGGTTTTGTTACGTATAGTAGGGGCGGCAGAATATGCGAACAGTAACGGTAAATTAGATGAATTTTGCGCCCAGAACAATGTAAGGCAAAAGGCAATAATTGAAGTTAGAAAAATTAGACTGCAATTAACAAATGAAATCAATTTGTTAAATCCAGATTTGAATTTAAGTGTAAATCCCAAAATGGAGCCCCCAAATGAAACACAGGTACTATTAATTGTTGTATGATAACAAAATTAGGTTTTGACAGTTTTAAATTGTAGGCTAGGCTTCTAAGGCAAATAGTCCTATCTGGATTTGTAGACCAAGTAGCTAGGAAATGTGATGAAGAAATAATAGGGAAAAGTGTCAAAAAGAAGCCACTATACAACACACCCGATCTGGAGGAACCTGCACAAATACATAGCTCATGTGCTTTGTATAAAGAGTACCCAGAATGGATAATTTATCAAGAAATTTATGAAACAAATAAAATTTATTTGAGAGGTAAGTGAAACATAAACAAAACACAATTTTGTATAATTTTTAATAATTATTTTAATTAAGGTGTTACGGCTATTGAACCTGAATGGCTGCCAATTTTTGCACCCAGTTTGTGTAATTTAGCTGAGCCACTTGAAACTCCTGCCCCATTTTATGACAAGAACACTGGGACCGTTCGTTGTAGAACGACAGGAACTTTCGGTAACGTTTTAAACTTTTATTTGTTGACTTATTAATATAAAATTACATTTTTTAGGCCGGAGCGGCTGGGAATTACCAATTGTTGAGATGGAACATCCTGAAGGGCTTGCAAAGTACAAATGGTTTGCTGTTTTCTTATTGGATGGTTCAATCTTCCAAAAGCTAGAGAAATATAAAGATAAATTACTCTCTTCACCACAAATAATGACTAAGTCTTGGTCCAAGTAAGTATAATTTTATGAGCAAATAAAAATAAATTTTAAAAAATCAAAACAATGTTATAATTAATTTTATATTATACAAATTTTAAAAAAATAATTAAAAAATAGATTTCAACCAAGAACAGAATATTTGCTAAAAGCGTTAGCATCTGAGGAAGTTGACTCCAAATCAAAATTACTAAATGTATGGACGACAAACCCTAAATGTAAGTTACATATCAAACAAAATATACATTATTACTATTTACATATTTACAATGTGCTAATTTTGTTTTAGTTCTTTTGGCACCATACCAAAGTTGGCTTCCGGATGATTTGCACAATGAGATAGCAGTGAAATGGCCTCCAACTTGATGTAATTTTATAAGGATTTTTAAAAATATTTTCCAATTACAATGAACTTGTAAATATATTTTATAAATTGTATAGAATGTAATAAAACAATGTTTGTTTACTTAATTATTTACTTGTTGGACACCTTATAAAAAACAATTGGAGTACATTTTTGTGCGAGAAATGTTTAAAAAATTTTACGGAAGAATGTGCAAAACAGTGCCAGAATGGTGGGCGGTACTTGCAGCGCCCGGAACCATTTGTCAGACTTTTATCTGCGCTAACTGCAGGGTTGCTGGGTCGATACGAATCTTTGAGTTGTTGCTTAGGGATTTCTGTTGGTTCATTTTCGCCCTGTAAGGGATCCATTTTTCAAGTTCTTCGGGATTGAGGCCATCGACTGTCCCTTTGGCAATTTTATTATCTAATTGCATGTAATAAGCTTCCCTCATCACTTTGAAAGCCCTAACATTTCTAAAAGCACAGTGAGTCCGTGGGTCTAGATACTTAGCAGGTAATCTGATAAAAGAAGGATAAAATTAACAATCACTTAAAAAAATGTTGTTTAAATAATGTGTAATTGAAATTTTAATACCTTGTAATAGGACAGATTTTTGGTTCTTTCAATACCGGAGGCCGTTTTATAGGAAAAGCCTTTCTAAATGTGGCTTCATCACTGAACGTAATGAAGGTTCTTTCACACCGTCCAACTGTTTGTAGTGGTTTGCTTTCCTGAGCTTCTTCCTTCACTTCGGTTTTCACAGGCACAACTGGATCGACATGTGTTGATATTTCTACTTCACCAGCTAATTCAGTCGAACCATTTTCATTTGGATCTATAACCATTGGAGTATCTTCTGTTATTAGAAAATTAGTTGTAATAGGCTTCTTTTCTTCCTCGTGAACTCTAAAAACAAATATGCTAAAAAAGTAAATATTTTAAATTTATATTTAACAGAACAATACAACTTACTTTATTTCTGGGCTTTCAATTTCTGTTATAAGAGGCATTGAAACTGAACAATAACGGATGACTGGGCCATTGAACGTTTTCTTCACAACCCTGTTCTTCTTTTTCTCCAATTCCATTTTATAAAATTTCTCTGTTAATTTAAGTATATATTAGAAAGATAAGAATAATAATACAAAGACAGTTTTAGCAATTATACCTAACGATTTTATATTTTCTTCTTCAGTGATTTTTGCTTCTTCAAGAAGTTCTTCTTGTGTAGGCTTCCAGTTGTCAACTGGCTTTGGCAACTTTCTTTGTAGCCTTAATGCTTTTCTCTCTTTAACTCTTTGTGCAGTTGCTGCTGATTTCACTGCTGTAGATTTTCTTATAGATTTTCTCTCTATGTTTGAAAAATAAACATTACTTCAATTTCTCACGATGCTATGTACCTACTATAAATCAACGCTTACCTAACGGCTGGGATAGCGGTTTGGGTGTATATTTTGGCTTGGAAGACGCTTTTTTGTCATTTTTTACTTCCTCCTTTACTTCCTTTTTCTTAGCTGGTTTTGGCTCCTAAAATAAGAAAATTGTGTTAAAAAAGTATTGAAAAATAACTCAAGATTATTCTTTTAATTAAAAACAGCATATTAATATAATAAACATATTCATTATCAATCATGTATTAACAGTTTAGGGAAGCTTGAGGTGATGAACTGATATTCAAAAACATCATACATAAAAGCTACATACCACATACCTATACACATAGGTTATAACTTATATAGCTTATTATAAATGCTATTACATTACATATGCTATGTTTTATAAAGGCAATCAACTTTTGATTCTTGTATTTTTTTCTTGGTTCAAATACTAGATCTTAATGTAGCACTTGGAAAACTTATTGGAGAATAACTTGGAAAAAAAATTATAAAGTGGTGTGACTTCATCCAATACAAATAATACATGAAAAAACCAAACGATCGAAAACAACCTAAGTAAAAGTTAACCCCAAGAGAAAACTAATCTTTTTAGTGAAACCGTGACTGACTAAATTGTTTTTTTATTACTTTTTTTTTTTCGAGGGTTCAACACGGCAGAGGTTATATCAACCCTCAGGGTGCCGGTGTTTTTGAAAAAAAAAGAAGCCCATTTGTAAGTTTGTCGGGTTTGAATGCAGGGCCGCTAGATTCAAACCCAGGACTTTTACCTTACATTGATGAGCACCGTGTCAATGCCTAAATCGTTGCGGCCACCGACACCCCATACTGAATTATACTAATATGAAAAAACATTCAACATTTATTAAAATTTTTTGAGATTGCTTAAAATGTAGAAGTGTGTTAAAAAGACTGAAAATTTAGTTAGTTAATATTTGACAAGCTGACGAGAGATAATATTTGCTAAAGTCAAATCAGCATGTTCCAAAGCCAATAAACCCAACAAGCGAAACAATACCCTCACACAATTTTGACAATATGTGCTGTATGTGCATATATATTGAGTAATTACATGTATTTATATACAAATCTGACAGATCCGTCAGACCTTGGGGCAGTTGGGCGAGAAGCCTACCAGAGTTGACTGCTAGAACTCTCTTTTATTTATTCGTTACTAGTATCAAAATATGAATTATTTCAGACAGTGTGGAGGATTGTAAGGGAGAAACATTGAGGAAATAATTAATCAGAAATCGTGAAATGTTGTCTTGTGTGACGTAGGTTTTAGAAAAATATTTTCTTTATCGTGCCAACGTTTTGATCTTTATTGAGATCATCTTCAGGGCCTGGGATTTATAAACATTGTTTAAATTTTACAAATACATGTGGGATGTGAGAAAAAAAAAACGTTAACCTTTAAACCTACGTCACACCAGACTGCATTTCACGATTAATCATTAACTAACAGTCACTAAGCACCACACATTGAGGAAATAAATTAGCCTAGAGCAGTGATTCCCAACTTTTTCTGTTCCGGCGCCCCAAGACAAAACAATGGTCTATCTCAGCATAACTTTATGATAATAGTGGTAATTCATTTCCAATTCAGAAAAGCAGTGTTATATCTAAATCTAATGATACCTCTAAACCTAAATTTTGTCTGCAATTTTATTTAATAAATAATCAGAACTCCTGACTTTCTTATGAAATTGCAAAACTTGCCTTTTGAAAAGTGATACACACTTAAATAGCATAAATATAAAAGCGAATATTTTTTTTATTTTTTTTTTTGGCAATAATATAAAATACACAATTGCAGCTGTTTCGTTAATATCCATATTGAGATTGGATTGCCACCAGAGTCTTAGTTTTTAGGGTTTTGTAAAGTGGGTTTAGTTTTTAGGTTTTTTATAAACAGAAGAAGAAGAATATTTTTTTAAAACTTTTTGTGGCGCCTTTGTAGCACAGGTGCGGAGCTCAGTTTGGGAAACACTAGGCTAGAGTGTTACAGTTGAGGGAAAGTTTAAAGTGGAAATATGTTCGGATCAGATCCTCCTTAAATGTAATATTTCGGTTTGTTTAGGAAGCAATGAGGATGACTCAGGACTTTGGATTAAAAAGATTGGATTTGAGCCCCTCAGCTTAACTCCAATAGAGCTGGTCCAAATCAGTTTGATGAGTGTTTTGTAAGCTGTTAGTTTGTTATGTAGGTTTAATGTTGATTTCGGAGCAAATAGCCGTCTGATTTAGCAATATCTCTTGTCTTTTTAACCTTGTATGTGGGTTTTACGTAAATCTGCTATCCAAGTAAAGCCCAAGTTAACTTAATTTTATACTCATCTAACATGATCTGCCACCAAGTACACCTGTTGGTAATGAGGCCCAAGTGTTCTTGGATTATTTCTGTTGCTTGGTTATAGTTAGAGTGTGAAAAGGATTGCGGTAGTGATCTGTATGTTAGAATGTGTGGGTATATCAACTGTGATTGGCTAGACACATGAAAAACTGAAGCCAATTCTTACTTTAAATGCAGTCTGACAAGAAGGACTTCAGGATGAGATAGGTGTGAGAAAGGATACTTTCTAACTAGCAAAAGGAGAGTGGGGAGCCACACTTGGTCGAATGCTTTCCTAATGTCTAGTAATACGACTGAGCACTATTTTTTTCTAGATCAGAGGATATATAAACTATTCTAAGCCTTGCTGAACAGCAGAACGGAGGGATAGGAAACCAAACTGATGGTTGTAGATTACAATTATAATTCAAAAAGAAAAATAAGTTTACTTTATAAGCTCTGGTTACTAGAGGCTTCCTTCTTTTCTTGTCATCGTCCTCGTGATCCGAGATAACTTCGTCGTTTTCGTCGATGCTGAAGTCAGAATCGACGACATCTTCGCATTCCTCTTCGGACCTAAAGCAGTTTAGAGGTCAGTATACGTCACTTACTTTAATAATAATAATAATCAAACAATCTTACTTATAGTCTAAGTCGTTTTCGATCTCCTCGAAACCTCCGTAGGTAGTCTTATAAAAATCGTCTTCCTCCTCTTCATTCAAAAGTTTCGACAACTTATTTCCGGCGTTCACCCTCCTCTCTCGAGTCGCTGCCATTGTAAACGTTAGACAGATTTTTTAGATTTTTCGACTCTATTTTCAATTTACACACACTTTAGTGTTAACAGGGAAGAACACAACAACACGAGTAACCATAAAGTTACCTTTTAGATTTTCAATGTGCTAATCGATTTTTTCTTGAGTATCGACATATTCTGTTAATGGTTGGCGAGACATCTTTGCTCATCGAAATCATTTTCAAATGTTTGTTGCTCGTCAGAATTCAGAAAAGATCCTTCTAAACAGAAAACTCGCAAGTACAAAATTATTATTATAACAAGTATATATAGGCATCACACATAACAAGCAAAGTAAATTTCATCGTATAATGTAATTTTATCTGTAGTTTTTACAACATAACCTAACATGAAACATTCATATCAGTTATTTTGTGTGAGATTTCTTTATTGGAGTCTGCGGGGTGACGAACCTATAGTTTGGTCATTTCGGATCATTTTTTGCCTGCCTGTCCTCGCCTTTATTGAATCAGTCAGACGAGATTCGTTTTTGTCGTCCTCAGTGGTCTGCATTGGTGCATTTCGCTTTCAGTGACCTGGGTTATAAACGGGTGAAGCACTAACACGGACCCATAACTTAAGATGGCGAGAATCTGTACTCAAGTCCCCAATTTTTATTATAATAAATATAATAAATTTATGCTTTTAATGAAATTTTACCTGTATTTTATTACATCATAACCAAGCATACTATAAAAGTATTAATCCTAAATGTTTTATTTGAAAATTGGTCGTTTCCCATTAGTTTTGTCTGTATATCTTCGGCGGTTTGGTATGACAGACGCGTTTCAGCTTCTCGCCGAGTTCAGTGGTCTGTTTTGATGAATTTCGCTTTCAATGATCGCTCTGGGATATAAACAGGGTAAAGCACCAACACGGTCACATAACATAAGGAAGCTTTGCGGAAGTAATTTAAAAAATTATTATGACAATAAATATTAATCACATACTCTTTCACTTTTTAATGTAATTTAATCAGTATTTTTTATGGTACAAGCTAGCATAACTCTAAGTTAAAACATTCATAAGGCATATTTTATTGTGGGAAGTCTGCACGACGATGAACCTACATTTTTTTTCTTTGGTGATTGATCAGCCTGCTCAGTTTAAATATATTTTTTTCTTTCCAAAAGGTAGATTGGGGATGAGGCCAGGAAGACAGAAACAACATTTATTTTCTTGTCGAGCTTTCGGCAGAATATATCGCCTTCATGAGGACTGTATTAACAAATTAACATAAGTAAATTTTCAAATATACAATTTTTAAAACTTTCCTTAATTACTAACTCGAAAAAAATCGTTATACTATATGAATAGGCACATGTGTGGATAACGGATAGCCGGTAGAACCCTCCTTCGATAAACGAAGGTAATAAATATTCCTAAATCCGTTATCCACGCATGTACCTGTTCATATAGTATAACGATTTTTTCGAGTTAGTAATTAAGGAAAATTTTAAAAATTGTATATTTGAAAATTTACTTATGTTAATTTGTTAATACAGAGTCCTCATGAAGGCGATATATTCGGTTTCTAAGTTTCTGGCTTAATTGTATTAATTAAATTTTATATTTTTACTATATTCTTTTCTAAAACTCATTTAACTCGTCATTCTCATTCACCCAAATGATAAAAAGATAAAAATAAGTTAAGGCAAAATTAAACAAAGTTAGTTTTTGTTAGAAAGAAGTCACCAAAACACCAGAAAATCATTTAGTGTTAGATTAAAATTTAACTAACAATTTATTACCAGGTTTTGCTTAAAGATCATCATCAAGTTGAAGGATTTAGAACCACTTCTAGCTATACATATATAGTATACTCTTAAAAATTATGTCGAGAGACGCGGTTGTAAATCCTTCAACCTGATGATGAGCTTTAAGCTTGAAATCCGGACGTGAAAACAACAAACTGTGAGTAAGATCCAAGTTTTCAAAAAAGATTACGAAATGCGTGTGTATGGTTTTTTTTGTCTTTGAGTGTATAAAACGTTTGGAACATGCGGTAATAAAGTTTAAAAATATACATATAGTAAAACAGTTATACACATTTCGATTTAAATTAAGCAATGATCATTAAGCAATTTTTATTATTTAATATTTTTGCATAAACGTCTCAAAAATTATTAATAAGTACTATTAACAAATAAATTGTGCTCACGTACTCACCATCCAAAGATGGAACATTAGATTGAAAAGTTCATAAATGTCATTTTAGACAGTTCACTGGCTAGGAGAGGACGTGAAAGGGAATATACAGGGGGAAAGCGGATAAAAAGCAGAGGAGAACAAACTTAGAAATGTAATTGAAACGGCGCCAGATAAATGGGATATTTGGTTTCAAAGTTCTCCTATACCGATCTTACTAATTGGGATTCTTTTTTAAAAGAGAATCGCTAATAGGAATTCAGCGTGGGGTGATCACTAGTAGGAAAAATTCACACAAGGGTGGTCAATCGGCACCTGAACACACAGTAGTAGAAACCCTCTTGGGAGTTAAAAGTCAAACAGCGTTGCATTCGCTTCTCTTTAGTTTTATGCCGTCGTATATTTTCCCCCTAGCGATTTATATTTAGTCGATGTAACGGTGTTCTTTTCTTTGAAAGCGCACAGTGTTGATCAACATCGTGTGAGGCACTTGAGAAAGGAGTTTTACGATTATCCATTAGTCTATGACGCGAAGGTCAATCTCTGGAAGATTTATAGTTAATTAAGTGATCCTACAATATTTTAAAGACTTTTCATGTTTTAGCTCACTTCGAAATCTGTTTACTCAATATTATTTAATAGATAAAAAGATGTATTTTTTGTTCTTCTAATGGCATGGTATCTTTACCATGTTCCTGTAATGTAAAAGTTAATGTAAAAAGTCATAAAAATATTTGTGAGATTTCCTCTAGGGATCAATGGACCTGTCAGATTAAGGATAGCAGATATTTATTAAAATGTAAAACTTTTGAAAGAATACTATTAAAAATATGAATATCATTAGTTCATTGCTAGATATTGTCGCAACGTAAAATATTTTGAAAAACGATCAGTTTTCCAAGCTACTGCGAAAATTAAAAGGTTTTAAATAAGGAAGGGCTGCATGTTCAAATCCTTTGATGTTTTTATTTTATTATCCCCTTACCCCTGGTTAAGATTAATTGCCGCGTTTGTTAATGAAGAGGACGTAAATAAAATTTAAGGTTTGTGATCCAACAGTTTTATAGTCCAGCTTTGTGGGAGTGTATGCGATACAATCTCAGTCTAAATCCGAGATCGTAACTGTGGTTTGTGCCTTTCTTTTTGTCCTTTGCCAGGTAGAGGCTGTGTCTTTTCTATCCACGGGGATTTTTAATTGAGTAAACATTCGTTAGCCGATTAATTTAACACATGTCATCTAAGAATATTGGTTTAAATATATTTATTAACGATGAATTTAAGGAGAGCTTTTATAAAACAAAATCTTAAAGTTCGAGAAAATAAAAAAAGTAAAAAAGTACCAGTTACAAATTCGATTCGTGTACCATATTAAAATTCAATTTTTGATTATTTTAAAGATTTTCATTCTAAATTGCTGGCCCAAATAATTTATAATTTATATTTAATGGAAGTTAAATGAAGAAAAAAATTATGGTTTACAATTTTTTTAAATAATTAATGTAATTACTACAAATTAAATTATTAATTGTAATGTTGTAATTAGTTATTTATTTAAATGTGTTTTTTTATTTTCGGTTTCGACGTAAAATTAGTCATAGGTAAATTGATCTCCGGCAGATGGACTCCCATGCGAAAATTACTTTAAATTAAATATTACGTAATGTTTATAACATATTTTGCAATGAAGTAAACATTGTTATTATTATTAGTATCACTGGCTGAGACAGAAATTTGTCGAATCTGCCATGAAACAGCAGATACTACATAGGAACGTCTTACGTGCACCTCCGTAAAGTCGATACTAACGCCTAGGGAAATAAGCGTAGAGGCACCTCGAAAAGGGTTTAACTACGTTAAAAGTCGTACACTTTCAGGAGTATGGAAATTAAGAAGAGTCGATTCCATTACAAATCTTTTAGGTCACAGTGGAAGAAAGAGAAATTTACAGAGCCAAATGAGAAAGACAAATTTACAATTAAGAATGTCGATAACAGACATCTTTTGAAGCGTTCGTTGTATCCCACTGAAAACATCATGTCTCAAATCAATATAAGATGTATTAAATTTAAGTATTTTATAGCAACGGATTTGTTTAAAAAGAAGTACAAGCAGTCACTGTACAAACATTGAGTTTATAAGAGTAGTGTACTATTTGAAGAGCTATTTTTTTGTTTTATTAAAAGACCCCTTTATCTCGTTTGGTTCGTACTGGGGTATACAATACTGATTTACATTTGGGAATATAACCACAAAAATGAACAAAAGTGGTAGGCAACATGCAGAACGTACAACACAATCCTTGTGACCATCAGGAGACGATCTAGCTTCTTAGGATTTTCAGCAGAACGAGGTTTACTGTGTACTGCACTTTACTGCTACAGTCCAACGGTTAGAGAATTGACACGGCGATTTATCATTGAGGTTCCTGGGTCGAATCTCAGCTGCCCTGTGTTGGAAATCCAATGTCCTTCCAAATGGACTTTTAGTGGACACTTGAGCTATTGTGACTTCGATCCACTCGGAGACCAACTCCTCATTGAAAAAAATGGCAAAAAGAGAAAAAATTCGTAGGTTGAGATGAGGAGTTGTTGTCCGGGTGGATCGGAGTCACAATAGCTCAGTTGGTTAGAGCAGCGTCGTATTTAGCCGAACGTCTTGGGTTCGAATCCCGCTCGTGAAAATAACTTTTTCATCTCAACAAAGACCTTACATAAAAATAACAAGGAATATAGGTTATGTAGTATTAATATTAATTTAGTATAAAAACAAGCAATCAACACTATAAACGAAGGAAGTCCCCTATTTCCTTTTTTTTAATGCATACAAATTCATCAAATTTCATTCATGTGTTTGACACATCGATCAATTTCGCGGGATCCACAGAACACTTATAGAATGGGCCTCCAACTTTGTATGCCATACCCTGAGTTGGATTAGAACGATCTATTTT